CCATCTGCTTGACCAATTATCCTTTCTCTAACAAAATACTGACAATTCGAGAGAACCTTGAGTTCTAGGCATGTTGTAGCACGAGATAATTAGTGTGTGGACCATTTTCATTTATATAGTGCTCTGTAAACACAGCTTAGTTAGCATAATTCAGTTAAATGACGAAAAATTAAGGTGTCTATTTACTTGTGACCACTCAGTGTATATATATATATATATATATATGTATGTATGACAAGTCTCGCTTTCGATAACTTCATATTTTGAAAGCTCTTGTCTTAACTTTTTCATGGACTATACTTATTATGCAGCTAGAAATATCTTTACAAAGACAGCTACGAATTATCATTCAAATTGTCAATTAATAATCAGCATCTTTGTTGTATTTGGTTTTGCATTAAAATCACCAGAGATATACATTACAAGCTGTGAAATAATTTTAACATGAACTATAAAATAAATGTGCTACGAATCTGTAATCAACAATCACACCACTTTCTTAAGAAAAAAAAGCTTGTTTTTATATTTAGGTACTTTTAACCACTCCACTGCAACTGGCCCCCAGTGGCACAGCGGTATGTCTGCGGACTTAAAACGCTAGAATCGGGGTTTCGATACCCGTGGTGGGCAGAGCAGGGATAGCCTATTGTGTAGCTTTGTGCTTAGTTACAAACAAATCACTGCCACTGAATTTACCAAGGATAATGATAAGCATGATTCGCAGTCAACATTAAACCTAGCGAAGTATGTATATATTAAACCTTCGTATTAAAAGCAAAATATATTACTCGTCTACTTCTGCTATAACATCAAAATGAAATGTCATTTTATCTCCTAATAAAGTAGTTAAATTAGAGCTGAAATACTAAAATATTGTACCTAGGTTTTTCAACTTAAATCATTTTCTTCTACTATTAATAATGATCGTATCTGTTTAATACTCAATGAAAAAGGAAATAATAATGATGTAACCTCTTGTTCAATATGATGATTTCGTTTTTCCTGGCAGTTATTTCGATTTAAAAAATAATTATCGCCTAAGAAATAATTACTAATCAAGGGTGCTCGAAGATTAAACAATCCTCCTTCACCCTGCTCGTGGCATAAGGTTACATTTCAATTAGTGGTCAGCGGAGTAATGAGACGTATGGGCGAAGGATAATTAATTAATTAATAAAATTATATATATATATTGGATGGTCGTATGAAGGCGAGGCAAGTAGGCAGTAGTGAAGGCAAGTCCAAGGCGTAGCAGAGGCTGGTTGATTTTTGAAGGAGCAAGTCGGCAGCCGAAACAAGATGAAGCAAACGGGCCTTTACAGAGCCTGGCGGGGATCAGTGGATCAAGGTGCCAAGGCTGGGATCTATGGATTCGATGCCTGAGAATTAGATGTGGGGAAAACGGGAGCACCCCGAGAAAACCCACTTTCACTAGTCGGGGCCGAATGACAGCCCGGCTAGTGCCCGAGTGAAGAGCTGACCAGGAAGTATAGATCTGAAAAGAGACTAAAGAAAAAACATATTATGCATAGAATACGTATAATAATGAAGTTATTCAAGATTATGGTATAGAGGTGATGCTCTGTAACAGATTGTAAGGGGATAGATATTTGCACCATGGTTGGGGGTGGCGGCAATTTTCTAAAATTCAGCTGTGAGTGGATTTCGGTAGATGGTTTTTTTGTGTAATATTTGGTAGCAAGTTTAGTGATGCGTGTTTGTACGGTGTGTAGTGAGGTGTGCCTTTCGGTGTAGCATGCAGGTGTGTATCGAGGAAGGCGATAAGCCCTAGACAAGATTACACAATGGCGGATCATACTCAATCCCTCCAAAACCCAGGTAATTATACTCTTCCGACGACTTAACAAAAGACGCAAACGAGTCAGGCTTACCAAACTTTACTTATACGACGACCAACCAATCCAATTCTCC